CGCCAGGCGGTGCGCCTCGACCAGCAAGTCCACTGCGGCGGCCGCACCTGCGCCACACGGAGAAGTAGGGCATTTTGCACTGATACATAACTTCATAATTATTCGCTACAAATAAAAATAATTGACTTCCGAAGTGCGTACCGCGGTTCCGGACCGCGTTGACGAGCATGTCAGGGGACGTGAGCTTCGGTCCGGACGCTGATGAGATGCAGCCGATGGACAGCTCGTCGACGGCAGCACCCAAAGCACCGACCAGACTGCAAGACCAACAGCCACACTTGCACCGGAACTGCATGTCGAAGTACGGTGTGTCACCCTCACTTCCTGGTGATCCAACTCACGCGTAGGCGCGCGGGAAGTCCTCCGCCACGAGCGGCCAGGACGCCGTCGCGGCCACCGGGGCGGAGAGGGCCGCGTTGAGCGCGGCCGCGGCCCCGAGGACGTCACCGCGGCCGTGGCAGCGCGCGCCGAGCTTGGCGACGACGCACAGGCGTCGCGCAACACCCTGCAAGAATGATTAAATCAACCCCTTAAGCGTGAAAGTATTGCCTCAGCGGCCCAATAGCGCAGCCGCACCATTGCGGTCGGTGTAGGCCGGTGCAACGCTCTCCCTCCCTCCCTCCTCGCCTCGCAATATGGCAGCCTGGTTGCACGTGCCAGCTCGGCCATTGTGTGAGTGAGCCCCCGAGCCCGGCCCCTGGACCAGCCTCCCCAGCCCCGGGACGTGGCAGTAAAAGCCACCCCGGCCTGCCCGGGCCTGCCCCGCCCTGCATCCCTACGACCGGCGAGTTTGATGGTCCCGCAATAGAGGGGCGGTCGCACTGTGCGGTAAATGAGTCGACACGCAAAATGTGAGCGCGGCATGCCCCGACAGGACGAGGGGCACGAAAATATTTCTGTTTTATTTTGATTTTTCCTGGTTATTTCCGATTTGTATATTTATTTTTTTTGCTAATTTTTACAATGATTTTCCCTTGATTTTACTCTGATTTTTCTATGAGCGTATACCGAGGGGGAAACGACTAAGGTAATCCGGCTGACAGCCGAAAGGTAATCCGGTAGGGGTAATCCGAGGAAAATCTAAAAAATCCGTGGTAATCCGGGGGAATTTTGAGGTAATCCGGGGGTAATCCTAGAGAAAAAGCAACGTAATCCGGAGGACACTCAGGAGGTAATCCGGGTAATCTGTAATACGGCCGACACAAAGTTTAACAGTCGTTTCCCCCTCGGCGTATACTATTTTTTTCGAGATAAGGTTCGCCCTCTCCCGTACCTCGAGTCACGCCGCTGCGGCTTCTGACTCACCGCTCGGCTCCTCGCCCTGAGCAGCCAGCGCACCAGCAGCCGAGTCACCGCGCCCTGGTGCAGAGCCAGGTTCACGATGTTGGGGGCGTGCCGGTGCAGGTCCCTGCCGTCGCGCAGAGCGAGCGCCCGCACCTCGGCCGCGGGCACCTGCGGGTACTCCAGGACCTGCACAGGCTGGCCGCGAGCTCCAGGAGGAGGCTGGCGTGAGCCACCGTCCCCCGGCGAGCAGGTGACCCACTGGGCATCGGTGTAGCATGGGTTGCCTACCTTCAACAGCGTTCACAGCGACGCACGGTCAACGCCCCTCTCTTTAGCGAGTTTCAAGCTTTAAAAGCGTCATTTAAAAAGGCGTGAAAACTAATATTCACTGCTAAGATGAGAGATGCGTCCAATGTCGTCAGCTTTATTTCGAATCGCGCAAAAGAAAACGTCCTCATTTCCTGTGTGAGCGCGATGGAGGGCCGGGGACCAGCACTGGCTGTGCCCAGTCGCAAGGGGAAGCAGAGGTCAGAAACCGTAGCACGAGTCTGGAAAAGAAAACAAATAAGAATAAAGACCGAGGTCAAGACTGCCAAAATTACTACTAATTTAAGACAAGAGCAGGGGGGGGGGGCTTCGGCAGAGAAAGTCTTAGGGACTGTCCTAGTGGGAATTAAAATATCTAATCGACGTCGAATCGACGTCGGTTTTGATGAGAAAACGATGTCATCGTCGATTCGACGTCGATCCAATATTACATTACTCACTGGGTGTGTGAAAATAAACTTTTGGCGCTGCAACGTTTGCAAAAACACACCTGCAATAAACGGTACTCTGCTGCCTGCAGGATGAACCCGACCGCACCGATCCCGCGCAGAAAGTATGGGAAGGGAACAATGTTCCTGCAAAACAGAAAAGAGCGGCAATCGTCGTTGTCCGGGGCTCGGAGTTCGCCGGGGTCCACATGCAGTGCCTGCTGCCGCACCCTGGTGCCGACGCCGACCCCGCGGAGCTGCTGCCCGCACGCGACACGGGCGGCAGCGAGACACCCGACGACGTCTGGCTGGCATAAGCAACTTGTCGCTTTTGTTTTAACTCTTATGCCCTCCTTCCCCGGCCGCCCCTGCATGCTCACCCGGGAGCTGCTCGAGGAGGCGGCGCCCTTCAACAACAGCGTGGTCGTGCACCCCTCCGACACTCCGCTGCCGAACCGACACAGACGCACCACCTTGGTCGCCCGCCTGTGGAGCAGACGTGCAGGTTCACGTGGGTTTACACAGTCAACTTCTATCACGCACACTGTCCTCCGTTTTGCCCATCGTCCGCGCATACCTCGTCACCGGGGCGGGCCGCGGCCGGTGGGGCCTGGTCGGCCGCAGCCCGGGGCCCTGGCCAGGGCGCAGCTCGCGGAGGAGGCTGGCCGTCGAGTAGTCCCGCACCGGCACCAGGACGTCGTCGCGCCCCGGCGGCCCGAACCACGCGTCCCGGTCCATCCAGCGCGGCGACGGCATTCCTGAACAGCAAGCTGTACGTGTTCGGGTTCACACTGCTGTAGGCAGCAAGGTTCACCTGAACTTCATTTTTCGCCGTCAATAAAGCATTTCGGTAAAGCTGAAATGCAGATGCAGAAGAATGTAGGGAACAAGAAAACGGAAGTCGCCATGTTAAAGCATAGCAATTTCCGTTTCCTTCTTCATCTCCTTCCTGCATTTCAGCTTTACCGGAATGCTTTATTCATGCACATGAACTTAAACCATCCGAGCGTTTGGTATGTATTCCCGACAGTGTACTTGGCCTGCGCCCCACGCGTGTCCCGCCGCGACCCTCCTGGACCCTCCCCTGCGCCCCATAAAGGCACCCCCAGCCCTGGCGCAATATCGTGCAGGGGCGCGCGCGTCCGAAGCTCCTCGCTCCCCCTCCGACTCGTCGCTTCGGAGGTCAACCCCTAAGCCGCATGGCGGATCCACCACCACTGCACAACATGGGCGGACGGAGATCAGCACTGTAAAGAATGGTTATTGTAGAGGTTCCATGCGAATATTTAAGAAAAATTACCATTTGGAAAATGGTAAAGCCACAAAATTCTCAAGCCTCCGTGTTTCGCCTTGGTACTTTTCGCTGTGCAAGCAGCGATCGATAGTTTACAAATCGTTTGTAAACTATTACAGTATTTTTAAAAGTACAGTAAATTTAAAAATTTTACTCAAGAGATTAGGAATACATGGCATTTCTTAGTTTCCTTGTGGGTCGTGTTGGCTTCACAGTTTATCAGCTAACACTCAGGCAAAAATTAAGTTCGTATTTGCAATATAAAGTGCCTAATTTGTGATTCGGAAGTAGCTTTTGTGACGAAATTTTTCCTCCCAGAACTAGAGAAATTCACGTTTAAATCGGAAGGGTCGCCTCATGCAAGCCACGACAACGCCGTGACATCCCCCCCTCCCTCTTTCAACCCACACGAACACGGACGCTCACAGAACTGACTTTACGACGCCGTCTGTTGGACGACACATTTACAACGGACGCGTTCCGCTGCTCCCGGGCGGGAAGACCGCGTCGATTGTGTCAAAAATTAGCGCAGCGTGTGGCTCCCTGGTGACCCCCCCCCCTCCTGCAGATTAGTTTTACTGGTCGTTGGGTTTATGGTGGAGCTGGTCCTGCCACCGGGCCTGCTGGCCAGGATGCTGACGCAAGGAAAACCACGCACCCCTCATCGCTTGGACTGGAGAAAAGGCAAAAAACACACGATTTGGCATCCGTTTCCGAAGCGTTTTTCAACCACGTTAGACATTGTTTAGACACAAAGACACACGTGCACTTACTGGATTTTTGATAAAAAGGGCCGGTGTTTTCTTACTTTATATGAGCACGCACGGGCACCGGCACAGACACGCGCGCGCGCGCGCACACACGCACATTCACTCGCACATTCACTCTTCCGGGTGCCACAGCTGATCGAAAGGTCCTCATCAGTTTAGTCATGGCGTCTGGAGAGCATGCATGTGTATCACCGCCGCCTGGCGTAACGCAGACCCGCCAGTCGGCGACCTATTTCCTCTCCGGCGCGAACGAGTGCTCGCGCACGGGACGTGCGATGCGGTGCTGGCCGCCTCGATGGTGCTCCTGCTGTCGTTCGCCGTGGTCACGGGCTCGAGCCCGCCGCTAGCGCCCGTCACCCGCCCAGACTGCAGCCTCCAGTTGTGCCCCCCCCCCCGGACAGCACGCCCCTCCCCATTCAGCAGTAGCTAAGCACGCAGGAGACAACAGGAAGTCAAAAATGGAAGGCCACATCGCCGGCACGCCTTCCAATGCGGGGCGCGAAAAAAGAGGCAAAACGTCTGAGCACTTTGTCATTGTCTTTATCTCGGATGTCCGTTTTTGTTCTTCCTTTTCCGCGTCCTGTGTAGTGCCCTGCCCTTGTACATAATCCCGCCCGCCACTCCTTTACCTGCGTCCGCTTCCTGCTTCCACAGCAGGGCGGGCCGCGGCCGGCGCCGCGGAGCTGCCCGTCGACATCCCGGGCCAGGTCGGCGAGCCCATACGACCGCGGACGCCTGGGACGGGTACCTCAAGTGCATCGGCGAGCGTCAGGTTGGTATCTGTGCAGCAGTGCGAGGGCCGCGGCGGGCGGGGCCCGCCTCGCCTTGCCCCCTCCTCCGACCACCCTCTGTCCCTCGCCCAACCCCTTCCTCCTGTTGCAGTGCGCCTCCGGGGCCTGCAGCGAGAGCGACAACGCCGAGGACGACGATGTGTGCCGGCTCATGTGCGTGGTCAACTTCAACTGCAGGTGCAGCTGCATCGGCCTCCCCGAGAGCAGCCTGCTGCCGTCCGACAACGTCCTGTGGGAGGGGGTCTACTTCGACAGGCAGTGCGAGCGGAACCACCCCGCGTGTGACGGGGACTGTGACGAAAGTCAGGACTGTCACAAGTCGTGCAGCCCGAACCGACTCGGGTGCGCATGCGACTGTCTTCCAGTGCACCAGAAGGTGGCTGCGACTTGCACCGAGACCGAGCGGTACACCACTCCGATTCTGTACGCACTGCTCCTCTTCGTCAATGTACTTTTGCCGTGACTTTGTGACTGTTTGAACCGCGTACAAGTACAAAGTATGTAAGCGCCGCTGCGAGCGCCACCAGCGGCAGCGGCGTGCGGTGCACCACTCAGTGGAGTGAGAAAGCGCGACGCGAGGAAGCCGGCGACAAGGAACACTGCCGATCAGCTGGCCGACATGAAAAACATATTTTCTGTACCGATACTCAGAAAGTTGCGAGTTGACCCAAATGATATTCGTGTTTTTGGTGTCGTTAGTAACGACTACGTTATGAACCGTCCGTAACTTTTCCTTCTGTGTATCAAGTGTCAAACAACAGTGATGTTTGGGTCGTTGGTGACAAAGGGTTATCTTCCCAAGTTCTGCCCAAAATGCTACATTGTCGACAGATTATCTTTTGGGCGAAATGGAATCTTCATTCAGCAGTCAGTGTCGATTTCGTCATTATCTGGAAAACTTGATTGGATGGATGACATAACCTAACAACTGTAAACAATGCTGTTGAAAAGCAAGGTAAGCCATTGTTCTCCACAGTGCTTAGTATGCCAATATGACCAGGATGACCATTTGAAATAATCCAGTGAATGCCCAGCTGAAAAAAATGATTCTTTCATTGATTTTTTATCCAATTGTTTTATACTACATATAGTTTAATACCGTATGTTATACCTATCTATGAAGCTATATAATTTTTCTGACTCAACGTTTCTGACAGACAGTCTCTTAGGATCAATTTAAAAGGTATTTTTGAAATATATATCGTATGACATATAGTCTGTGATTTAACAGTTCTCTGTAATGTTTACAAAAGATCTATTCACTTGTTCGTTACCATGCATTTCAATAATTCCCGCTAGCAATATTTTTTTGCTTTGAAAACAGTCAGCGTCGCTCACTGTTCATACAATCTTTATCGGATGCTTACTGTTCATGTGGAACGGTGCATGGCGTACTCACTATAGTTAATGTTTGCGTAGGCATGCTTTCTGTTGTGGAAAGGGCGCTGTATCTGTGAACAGTATCGCAACAGTTACCACGAACATGCAGAGTTTGTCTACCTACATTGAGCATTCGGTGCAGTATTTACTTGTGGAGATTGATTTTGCCATTGATTAGGATTTCCGATGAATCAACATCTAATTGAAAGAGTTACATAATCTAAAATTCTCTTCATATTGCTGTCATTGCAGCAGTAGAAGGGGATAAAGCATTCCGGTAAAGCTGAACTACTTTATTGGGCGGGGTGGGTCGGGTTCGGCTTGGGGTGCGGCGGAGTGGGGTGGGAAGGAGCTAACGCCCTCATTTGCCCCGGCGCTATGGATCATGTCATTTAATTTGCCGCAAGACTTCATTTTGTCCTTGTGGATGCAAATCGTTTATTAAACTTTTATCAAGCTGCTGAGTCCCGCCCGGTC